GGGCCCAATTTCAGAAGTTTTGTCTGACTACCAGTTGCTTAGTAGACACCTAATTGAGGGAGGGCTGATGCCTCCATATCCAACTTGTAGCTTCTAGGTAAGAAAAAGAGGATGCAACTTTTTCCTCACCGAGAAATGCTGAATTTTTTTTAAAGCTTCAGCATGTCTTTCTGTTTTCAGTTCTTACCAAGGATTGTTTTAAAGAAGGCTGTCATGGCCATGATGGGGTATTTAAGAGTTTTCAGCGGGGCAGAGAAAGTGGTGTTGAACAATCAGAGCTACAGAAGGAGTATAAGCAAGTACATATGGGTGTTGGGATTTCATTCCTTCCCACTGCTGATGTGTGATTGTTTTCATCACATGTCTGTGTTGACATTCCACACTGTTGGAGTCATGAGAACATAAGTTGAGTTAGACTGTTCCGTTATGTTATGCTTTTGCATTTTCTGTTCTGTCTCGGACGAGAAGGAGAGAAGAGCCATGATTTCTTTGTTCTGTAACACTTGATCTCGTACATAATAAATTAGCTTAGTATTCTACACCTCAAGTCCAGCTTCTGCTTTGAACTCGGCTATGTTTGTGTGTGCATATATCTTCAGATATATGTCGCAGTAGCAACTCGGGACAGAAGAGTGATGAATCATCCCGAGGGCTGCTTCGGAGGGAAAGACACAGTTCCCTGGCATTTTCCTAACAATGGGGAGCTGAGTTTTTAGAAATGAAGCAACAAAGCAGACTGGAACCAGGATTGCTGAAGAACTAGGTTATGCCCCCCCCCCCCCGATTTGAGGAGTTGGTACAGAGAGCAGTGAACTTCCTTCCTCCTCTTCCTTGATTGCATAAGTGCACCTGCCATCATTCAGAATATGGGGCCTTGCTTTGCAAGCTGCTTCCCTCCAATCACTGGCGGAGAAAGAGGAGTGCGGGGGGGAGCGCATCACACCCGGCAGTGCAATCCCCAGGGTGCCATTGTGGCTGCATCCCCTGCCTGCGCTGGGCACCCTGCCCCTGCAGGCGGCACGCCCCGCCCATGAGACGCACACCAGCCCCGCCCCTGCCTGCTCCCCCCCCCCCCCGGTGCTGAAGCATGAAGCTCCTGCACTGCCTCCAGTGATGGTATCTGCTGCCCTGCACTGAGACCATGCAATTTCAGGCTTCTTCAGATTCTGAAAACAGTTACTGAAAGGGGCTTGCACTGAAATGGATAGTATTCACTAGGTGTAATTAAAGTTAGAGCTGTAAATCAAAGAAGCTTCAGTTGACCATGTGGCGGGAAAGTTCATTTTAAAAAAGAACTAGTTTCATCCTGTCCAAAAAGGAACTAGTTCAAGTTTGTCCTTTTGCAAAACAAACTAGCATTCCCACCCCCAGCAATCAGAACGTTACAAGCTGCTGTGCTAAGGTATAAGGTCCAAAGGTAAATCAGGGACCTCACAGAGGTAATAAGATGTTTGACAGACATAATGCCAACTGGTGAAGCTTTCCATATAGTATTCTAGTATTCCATATAGTATTCCATATAGTATTCTAGTATTTTCATGCTAGAAAAGGCTTGCCTTGTTTAATTTGCATTAGCTACACAGCTTTTAAAGGCACAACATATTGTTTGTTTGTTTGTTTCCTGTACCTGTACTTGCTGCAAGTTGTTCCTGTTTGAAGAGAGTGAAAACCTTCAGCAGGAAAAATACAGGAAATACATCATATTTAAATAGCATTAAATTACAAAATCTCTGATCTACTAAAGGAATTGTAAAAAAAAACTACCCAAAAACATATAATTTACAAGAAACGAGTCATTGTTAAAAGGAAATGAAGGAGCATCTTGGACACTATGTTTCAATCCCAATTAAAATAACAAAGTAATGTGCCTACTAATTACAATTTATATTTACTGAAAACTGGTTCCCACCAATGAAGGATGTGACATTAAGCAGTAGAGAGCAATAGTAAGAAAAAGTGGGCTGGTGGCATATATTTTTAGTGATTAACATTTTCCTGCTCCATTTAAAATTCCATGTTGATATTTCTTGTTGATGTATTTAAAATCATTTAGTAAATCCTAAGTTGAAAGCAAGGGTAAATTTAATATTACATGCTCCAGATTCAAAGGGCAAACCAATGTAACTGCTTGTATATGTTTTGCTATCTGGGGTTTTGTATGCATGTAGGAATATAAAATACATATTCATGCAAACATAATTTTGAGACAATTTACTGGAGAGAAATCTAACTTGTAACAAAGAATTGCCTTGTGTTAGAATGCCATACGTGATGCCCAAAGGTCATACCATAATTTGAAAACCAAATTAATCCAGTGGAGTACTGTTACCTTCCTTATTAATATGATTTAGTGTGACCTTGTTTCACCATTGTTTCAAGATAACTTTGTTATTATTCCTCCTTTGCATTTTTGCCTCTATGTTCCCACCTCCCCCAGACAAGAACTAAAATTCCAGCTGTACCCTATTCAGTTTACCATCTGTTGAACATTTGGATTCATTTGCTAATACTGGCATCTTTCGTCTGCAGGGAATTTTTCCTGCCAAATGACCACTTTTCCCCCACACATCATCTTAAAGGTTAGATTCCTCTGTGGGCAGTCAATCTATTGGAGACCATTTGTGTTATTTACTTTAGTTCGGGAAACAATGCTTGATATAAACAACTAGGCACTCAGGATTTATTAAGGCTTACCATGCAGATAAGTGCATGTCAAAGCTAAAGCTACTGAAAAAGATTGCTCCCCGTCTTCTGTCACATAAATCAGAATTGCAGTGCCTTCTCTTGAACAATATTAATAAAATTTGCAGTTAAAAAATAATCAAAGTATGTGAGAAGCTGCTGGTTTAAAAGCCTTGTTTATGTGAAGTTACAGTGACCTTTATTTGCTGCCCTCACAAAAGTGCCTCATTTCCCCCTCTTCTGTTAGTATTTCCCTCCTCACCCCCGCCCCCAGTAGGACACATACAGGAATCATACAATGTTGTGAAAAATATTGTTGAATATGTACTACAATATATATGGAATACTAGGCATGAGCAAATCATTTTGAAAGTCTTCAGTGGACAGAACGGTGCTTTATAGAACAGCTGAGCTGCCATGGAAAAGCCACACCATGTCCCCCCTTTGTTCCACATTATGAAGTCATTAAATCAAATTAGTCATTAATTAGGTTGTCAAGCCAAATTATGCAATGTTGTCAATGGTGAATACCGGTATTTATTTTATTTGAAATATATTATTCAACTCATAATTTCCAGAGCAAATTCCAACAACTAATAAATGTAGTAATGCCATTTTCAGTGGAGGTATTCAGCAGAGGTGGTATTCAGCAGAGAGTTAAAAATATATATGTGAGGGTAAAAGTCTGGGGAGATATAAAGGGTCATTGCTGGAGCCTAAAAAGCATCCACATGGGTCCAGGGGTCCCAGAAAATGCGTTCACCAACAGGCCAGCCCCTCTTAACCACCTACCACAAACTCTTGGTGTATGGTTACCATTTGGTAAAAGTTGAATTCAGAGTATTGATAAGAAAACACAAGTAAGTTAAGTCGCATGACAACTTTTATGTCAGATTGGGGCAGAAGAAGTGTGATGCTGTAAAACTCAGGTGTGGAAAGTGGCTGCATTGGGTGGTCAGCGGTTGCGGCCCCTTGTGGGCTGCCATCCATTCCCTGGTAGCAAGGAGTCACATACTATGTAATGAAAGCAAAAGGTGCAGAAAATGTCTTTTTCCACAAATGGAAGGGCTGTTTTACTCCCTGCATTACAGCACAGTGCAAGTACACCTAAACTCTGCAAGGATTTTATTCCATTCTCACAAGAACCTATGCAATTGAAACAATGAGAAATGCTGCAAAATCTACCTGTTATAGTGATGTCTGTCCTCTTGTGCAAGCTCTTAAGAATCTCTAAAACAGTGCTATAAACTGTTCTCCTCCATTCACAGAACTTTGAATCTGAACCAAGTCTTTGAACTGGCCTGACTCACCTTTTTTTTTTTTATTTAGAGTTGGAAACCTTGCTGAATTAAATTGCTAGGCAGATCGACATCTTGGGCATCAATTATTTAGCAAAGGCAGTGAGTAATGCTTAGCTTCCATAAAAGCCAAATCTAAATGGTTGCCATGTGTAGGCTATGAATATGGTGATGTATCGTCTAATGCAACAAAACAGCCTGACTTTAGTCAGCCAATTTGTAAAAGAATTAATGCTTTCCAGCTCATTTCATACAGCTACGGCACGTGGATATGACAACTCTAGCTATTTCTTTAATTAGGGAAATTGCTACTGCTATTCAAACTGTTTGCCTTGTGTTCCATTTTGCTAAGGTGACCCAGGAGACTTAAGAAAACAGAGAGACCCCATGGCACCTTCCTAAACAACTACATACAGTTCTCAGTTGAATTGAAATACCTGGAACTGTGTGAATCGTTTTGGAGGAGGAAGATAAAAATACACCGCACAACAATAAAAGATGAATTACATTCAGTTTTGCTTTCAGCTAACAAACCTAGAATTACTCGCGCTGACGAGGCCTTACCTTGAAATGAACCCATAGAAACAGCATGTATGAAGGCAGCCAGGAACTTAAGCTATCAATTATCTAAGTACAAAACACCTCAATGCAGCTTTAATACCTGGATAGGGCATTTAGAACTGGAATTTAAGGCACAGCATGTTCAGTTTAAACAAAGTTTAAATGTAGATTTGGAAGGAAATACACCGCTGATGATACTTCAATGATTACGAATGTAGCTGGGAAATAAAAGATAAGCTTGACAATGGGACAGTAGGCAGTTTGAAGAAAGGAGAAAAACACTTTAAAAGGATAGATGGTATAGAAGACTACAGAGATTTAAAGCAACTGAGGGCTGGACAAATAGGCATCAATATAGCCTAATTATATACACAAAGCAGCAGATGAAGCTTATACAACTCAACCCCTGAAGAACTGGGCCACCTATACAAGCATTATTGAAGCAAACATAGCTACAGCTTTTGTCAATGCTTTTAATGCTATATTGAGAACTGTTGTCTAGATGTTGTACAGTGCAGGTACAGCGTGGGATGCACAAAATGCACCGATATGCTCAGATCTGCCACGTAGCATCTGTTGATATTCAGTAACCAGCCTTCTGTAAGATCAAGTTGCAGAAGTCAAGTTCTAGGCAGAAATAAACCGCAACGTGGTCCAATTCCTTTGATCCTCCACACCACTGAGAGTTTGGATATTGTTTTGCTTTTGAGGCAAAGATTGTACAGTAGTCTTTTCCAACCCTAGAAAAGATGCCACATTTACTGAGTAATAGCAACATATATGACTCTTAAACCAAGACTTTAAAATCTTTCCTGAATGATTAGTTTCTATTATCTGTGAATATGTATAGCCTAAGTATGTTTTCTCAAAGTATGGACTAGTTCTATTACTGTATGCGTTGGAGAAATTTAAAAGGGGGGTTTCCAGACTGGAGCGTACACTCACAGAAACCCAGAAGAAAAGGATGCAAGCTCCAAGTGAAAAGATAGGTCTTTATTGAAATGCAAATGTGCACAGGGACAGCCTCAAAAAATAAGGAGGAGGCTGCAAAGAACCACATACAAAGCAATTTTTAAAAATACATTTCCAGAATACACATGTCATTTCTATTCACCAATCAAAGGATCACAACAAACTTAATACTTGCAACCCAATGCCATCATCCTGAACCAATCAAAATCATTTGGCTCTTCAGATCAGCCCTCATCGTAATAACATGTGACTACATATAACCATTTTTCAGTGTCTTTCTTTATTAAGACTTTGACTAATTTTCCTGTTCATTACATGTCCCCCCAATGTCCTCTTTCATCTGTCTACAAAACAATTCAAGAATAATCACAATTGCCAAGTCTAGCTGATTCTCTTTTCATGCTTACAATGGCCATCATAGAGTCTAACAGTTTATTTTTCTCAGTGTTCTGGATTAGACATTCACTATGTACAGTACCTAAAAGCAGCTCATTCTGTACTGTAAAAGGCAGGTACAGGCCCTTTTAGTTTATCTAGGTCACAGACTCAAGAGAAAATGGAATAATGAAAATACAGTTGTATGAAATTATTATTTTCTCCAACGTTTGTGACTCTCAGAGAACACAAGAAGAGCTATGCTGGATCAGTCTGAAGGCCCATCTAGTCCAGCAAACTGTTCTCACAGGGATCAACCAGATGCCTATGGGAAGCCTGTGAACAGGACCTGAGTGCGACAACCCTCTCTTGGCTCCATACACCTTCAATTCATCAACCACTCCCCACCCCATACCACTCATCATCACTAGGACATCACTATTCTATGTTATCCAACATAAAGAGAAAGCAGGGGACCATTATGCAGCTCATTAGCTATTGCCCTCACGGGATCCTAATCTTCAGTGAAAGAACTGGGACTGAAAGACCAATAAAACATGGGGATGTACTGGAGCTAAGTTATAAGCAAGCACAATATGTGAGTCTGCATAATCTATTTTCTGCTTCTGTTAAGCCGGGGGAACTTAATTTGTAATTACTGTGCTTTTTAGAGAACGTGTCAGTCTATAAGCACATGAACCCTCCTCTTTAATCCCAGGTATTTTGGTCCTAGAATAACCTTGGTTTCAGATGAGTTAGAATATTGACAAAGTGTTAAGCCGAATTTTCCCATCGAAGCAAGTGCATTAAACCATGCAGTGAGATGCAAGAATAAACCACGTCAAAAATATTATTATGATCCATGGGCTTTCATATTATAGGGACATTCACTTAAAACAAAGAACCGGTATGAGTAAAAAAATAATTAATAAATCTTCAGAACAGGATGTACTGTATAGTCAAGGAGCTATCATGAATATAAACACTATTACTATGATAGATTCTGTTTGTGAAACTGGATCACATTTGAGCCTACTCACAGCAAGTGAGACCATTCTTTGGATCACCTTGTTTCACCGGATCACTGTGTTTTGATTTTAAGTACTAGAAGCCAGCTTTCAAGTTATATATATACGTAACCACTCTTCAAGCTTAGGTTATGAAAACAAAATTAAACCTTGAACTAGTTGTCAGGCTGATGGTTACCTCCTTGCAGCAGTTTATTGGCAACTGCTGTTGGCATGGAAACAGCTTAGTTGAATGCAAACATAACAACATCCTGATATCATTCATGATGTCACAAACAGTGTAAGCTCCAAGTCTTGGCAAAGTCTGATATAGCTAACAGTTGGACCAAGTCTACACACTGTCATGATGGATGCTCATAGCAGGTGATGAAGGGGTTTATTTTGGAGCTATATTAAGTTTTCATATGGGTGTAGTTTTGATCTGATCTGCAGATTGGTTTGTCAGCCAGTACCCATAAAAACTGAGGTCAAGGTCAATCAATACTAAAAAGCTTTGCCACTGATTCAAGACATAGCTTTGCCAATGTCATGGAACAGCCAGTGCAGGAACAGTTACCAGCCCGTATTAAGAAAAGCTGGAAAGGAAAACACCTTTGTGGCTATCTCCTGTCGAGGCTATTACTATTAAGAGAGTTAATATGGACAAACAGTGGGCAGCTTACAGGGAATTGCTGTGGGACACAAACTGAAATCAATGGAAAATGTAAGGAGCCATGTTACGGACTGGTTACAATATCATCAGTTACACGAAATGTTTAAATTAGATAGGAAAAAAATGGGGTTTTGGACCAAAGCTCACAATTCAAAAAAGAACTTCTACAAAACAAAGAGAAACTTTTGTCTAAAATGTATAATCTGTTATTAGACTGGGAAACAAAAGGCAGGCAGTAGATATAGAACACAATATATATTTTAACCTCTGGGGAAAACTCTGGAAAAGTGACTTGAAGTTTACAGCATGTTATTCTTTGAAGGAGAACTACTTGAAAATGATTGACATGGGGCATTTAACGCCGAGTAGGCTTGCAAAGATGTATAAGACTGAATCAGGTAAGTGTTGTAGATGCAAAGAGGTGGAGGGAACATTCTTTCATATGTGGTGGACTTTTATATGTGGTAAAAGAGTATTGGTAAATGATCCATAATGAATTGAAAAAAAATGTTTAAATGTACTTTCCCTCCCAAAATAGAGTCCTTTCTGTTGGGGATAATTCAGACTGAAATTCCCAGGTGTCAGAAAAGGTTATTTATGTATGCTACTACTGCGGTCCGTGTTTTGTTAGCCCGAAGATGGAAAACAAGCGAGGTCCCTACCAAAGAAAAATGGCAACGTAAGTTGATAGAATATGAACAACTTGCAGGCTTAACATATAGAATAAGAGAACAAGAACATATGTTTAAAAAAGATTGGGAAAATTGCTAAAATGTACAAAACAAATTCTAAAATGTGTTGGAAATGTAAAGAGAAAGAGGGCACTTTCTATCATATGTGGTGGACATGTACGTTGGTGAAGGCTTTCTGAGAAATGATATATAACGAGTTAAAGAAAATATTTAAAAAATTATTTGTCAAAAAACCAGAAGCCTTTTTACTAGGTATAATAGGTGAAGAGTTCCCAAGAGAAGATAAAAAACTTTTTATGTATGCAGTGACGACAGCGAGAATGCTACTAGCCCAGAGATGGAAAGAAGGAGAAGTATCAACAAAAGAAGAATGGCAGGTGAAACTGATGGAGTATGCGGAAATGACAAAACTGACATTTCTAAAGACTGGAGTAAATTTGTAATTTATTTAAAAGACCACTGTAAACCGTTAAAAACTTTGTCAGGGATGTAAAGACACTTGTAATGTGAATTTTAAAATGGTAATTATGGTTATATAATAGATTTTGTTGTTGTTTAGTCGTTTAGTCGTGTCCGACTCTTCGTGACCCCATGGACCAGAGCATGCCAGGCACTCCTGTCTTCCACTGCCTCCCAAAGTCTGCTCAAACTCATGCTGGTAGCCTCAAGAACACTATCCAACCATCTCGTCCTCTGTCGTCCCCTTCTCCTTGTGCCCTCAATCTTTCCCAACATCAGGGTCTTTTCCAGGGAGTCTTCTCTTCTCATGAGGTGGCCAAACTATTGGAGCCCCAGCTTCAGGATCAGTCCTTCCAGTGAGCACTCAGGGCTGATTTCCTTAAGAATGGATGGGTTTGATCTTCTTGCAGTCCATGGGACTCTCAAGAGTCTCCTCCAGCACCATAATTCAAAAGCATCAATTCTTCGGCGATCAGCCTTCTTTATGGTCCAGCTTTCACTTCCATACATCACTACTGGGAAAACCATAGCTTTTACTATACGGACCTTTGTTGGCAAGGTGATGTCTCTGCTTTTTAATATGTTGTCTAGGTTTGCCATCGCCTTTCTCCCAAGGAGCAGGCGTCTTTTAATTTTGTGGCTGCTGTCACCATCTGCAGTGATCATGGAGCCCAAGAAAGTAAAATCTCTCACTGCCTCCATTTCTTCCCCTTCTATTTGCCAGGAGGTGATGGGACCAGTGGCCATGATCTTCGTTTTTTTGATGTTGAGCTTCAGACCATATTTTGCGCTCTCTTCTTTCACCCTCATTAAAAGGTTCTTTAATTCCTCCTCACTTTCTGCCATCAAGGTTGTGTCATCTGCATATCTGCGGTTGTTGATATTTCTTCCGGCGATCTTAATTCCGGCTAGGGATTCATCCAGCCCAGCCTTTTGCATGATGAATTCTGCATATAAGTTAAATAAGCAGGGAGACAATATACAGCCTTGTCGTACTCCTTTCCCAATTTTGAACCAATCAGTTGTTCCATATCCAGTTCTAACTGTAGCTTCTTGTCCCACATAGAGATTTCTCAGGAGACAGATGAGGTGATCAGGCACTCCCATGTCTTTAAGAACTTGCCATAGTTTGCTGTGGTCGACACAGGCAAAGGCTTTTGCATAGTCAGTGAAGCAGAAGTAGATGTCTTTCTGGAACTCTCTAGCTTTCTCCATAATACAGCGCATGTTTGCAATTTGGTCTCTGGTTCCTCTGCCTCTTCTAAATCCAGCTTGCACTTCTGGGAGTTCTCGGTCCACATACTGCTTGAGCCTTCCTTGTAGAATTTTAAGCATAACCTTGCTAGCGTGTGAAATGAGTGAAACTGTGCGGTAGTTGGAGCATTCTTTGACACTGCCCTTCTTTGGGATTGGGATGTAGACTGATCATCTCCAATCCTCTGGCCACTGCTGAGTTTTCCAAACTTGCTGGCATATTGAGTGTAGCACCTTAACAGCATCATCTTTTAAAATTTTAAATAGTTCAGCTGGAATACCATCACTTCCACTGGCCTTGTTATTTGCAGTGCTTTCTAAGGCCCATTTGACTTCACTCTCCAGGATGTCTGGCTCAAGGTCAGCAACCACACTACCTGGGGTGTCCATATCCTTCTGGTATAATTCCTCTGTATTCTTGCCACCTCTTCATGATGTCTTCTGCTTCTGTTAGGCTCTTACCACTTTTGTCCTTTATTATGGTAATCTTTGTATGAAATGTTCCTTTCATATCTCCAATTTTCTTGAACAGATCTCTGGTTCTTCCCATTCTGTTGTTTTCCTCTATTTTTTTGCATTGCTCATTTAAGAAGGCCTTCTTATCTCTCCTTGCTATTCTTTGGAAATCTGCATTCAATTTCCTGTATCTTTCACTATCTCCCTCGCATTTTGCTTGCCTTCTCTCCCCCGCTATTTGTAAGGCCTCGTTGGACAGCCACTTTGCTTTCTTGCAAAGGATGGTTTTCATTGCTGCCTCCTGTATAATGTTGCGAGCCTCCATCCATAGTTCTTCAGGCACTCTGTCCAGCAAATCTAAATCCTTAAACCTGTTCCTCACGTCTACTGTGTATTCATAAGGGATTCGGTTTAGATTGTATCTTACCGGCCCAGTGGTTTTTCCTACTTTCTTCAGTTTAAGCTTGAATTTTGCTATAAGAAGCTGATGATCTGAGCCACAGTCAGCTCCAGGTCTTGTTTTTGCTGACTGTATAGAGCTTCTCCATCTTTGGCTGCAGAGAATATAATCAATCTGATTTCGATGCTGCCCATCTGGTGATGTCCATGTGTAGAGTCGTCTCTTGTGTTGTTGGAAAAGCGTGTTTGTGATGACCAGCTTGTTCTCTTGACAGAACTCTATTAGCCTTTGCCCTGCTTCATTTTGATCTCCAAGGCCAAACTTGCCAGTTGTTCCTTTTATCTCTTGATTCCCTACTTTAGCATTCCAATCCCCTATAATGAGAAGAACATCCTTCTTTGGTGTCACTTCTATAAGGTCTTGTAAGTCTTCATAGAATTGGTCAATTTCAGTTTCTTCAGCACCAGTAGTTGGTGCATAAACTTGGATTACTGTGATGTTAAAAGGTCTGCCTTGGATTCGTATCAAGATCATTCTATCATTTTTGAGATTGTATCCCAGTACAGCTTTCGCCACTCTTATGAGGGTCACTCCATTTCTTTTACGGGTTTCTTGCCCACAGTAGTAGATATGATACTCATCCGAACTGAATTCGCCTATTCCTGTCCATTTTAGTTCACTGATGCCCAGGATGTCAATATTTATTCTTGCCATCTCATTTTTGACCACATCCAACTTACCCAGGTTCATGGTTCTTACATTCCAGGTTCCTATGCAATATTTTTCTTTACAGCATTGGAGTTTCCTTTTGCTTCCAGGCATATCCGCAACTGAGCGTCCTTTCGGCTTTGGCCCAGCCGCTTCATTAGCTCTGGATCTACTTGTTCTTGTCCTCCACTCTTCCCCAGTAGCATGTTGGATGCCTTCCGACCTGAGGGGCTCATCTTCCAGCGTCATAACTTTTATATGCCTGTTGTCTTTGTCCATGGAGTTTTCTTGGCAGGGATACTGGAGTGGCTTGCCGGTTCCTCCTCCAGGTAGATCACGTTTGGTCAAAACTCTCCACTATGATCTGTCCATCTTGGGTGGCCTTGCACGGCATAGTTCATAGCTTCTCTGAGTTATTCAAGCCCCTTCGCCACGGCAAGGCAGTGATCCATGAAGGGGTATATAATAGATAGATAAGGGTAAAAGATGCAGTAAATTTAATCTTAAAGATGGAACCCATGGAGGGAGGGAGGGAGGTCTAAGGGTTTGAAAGAACTCTGTATTTTAATTTTTGAAATGGTTTTGTTTTATATGTATAATTTTTTCCAAAAACTTAATATAAATTATTTTAAAAGGGAAAATGTTTATTGAATATATGGGAAATAATTGTGTACAACTCAAAACACCGGCAGAAGTAAGATAAATTCAACAGTATAAATAAGTTTTGATGGATGCAATAATGGAATACTGAATGGTATAGTTTTTGTAAAATATGCAGGGATTTCTGATATGTAAAATGAACCATGGAAAGAGAAGAACGGAAGTCATTGATATCTTAAGGATGTGAAATGAGTATTTTAAATTGTAAAACAGAATATATATATAAAGAGAGAGAGAGAGGAGAGCAGGAAGTATGGAGAAAGAACTTGCTTAATTCCCCATTGTTCCAAAACAAAGGTGAGCTGTTTTAGGTGAGATATTCAGGGAGAATGAGCTATAGGACTGTTATGAGTTTCTCAGATACAAATGACATAATATTGTATATACAAATAGTTTATGTTATATATATATATATATACTCTATTTTTCTTGAGGAAAAAAGAAAATGAAAAGTGAGAAAAATAATTAATTCACAATGAGTTGGCAGAAATGTCGTCGTCCCCCCCGCCCCCAAGTGCGGCTGCAAGCATTTTGCGGCTGTCTTATCTGTGTTGCTGGGCAAACCTGCATGTACCACTGGGTAGAAAAGAACTCCAGTTACAGCATTCATAGTCGGGGAGCACAGCAAAATCTGTTGGAGATGGGAGACTGATGGAATGACCCTGTGAAAGCATGGAATACTTTGTGAAGAGCTTGTCTGAGGGATGCTGGACAACTTGCAAGACTTCTGGACTCAGAGAGCTAAGGCAGCTGCAGAACTTAGCAACCGGGCTTTGCACTTGCTGTGTGGACTAAGGAAGGACTTTGTAAACTAGAACCCTCTCTGGGCTCAGAGAGTAAAGCCTTGTAGCAACTGTAAATAGTGTGGATTATAGCATCTGTGTTTCTGTTTGCCAAGTAAACACCACAGTTGCTTCCTGTGGTGAGCTTAACTGCTTGACTGAATGTCTGTGGTGCCAACAGGCCATTCTGGGCAGCCAAGCCACTACCTGAAAGGGCAGCAAGACTTCTTAAATGGTGGTAGAGTGGAAAACACTTGACTGCCTTATATTTATTAAAGGTGAGACAGGTTTTTAATGTTTTAATTAGTTTTTTTAAAGTATTGTTTTGTTGCTTTGTTGTTCATTGACTGGAGCTTCTTTGGCAGGAAGGGAAGGATAAAAAATTGATTGATAGATTTAAAAGGTATTTAGATTCTTGCCGTCTGCTGAAACCCCAATGTTCTCCTGTCCTTGCTACTTACTCTCTGCCTGCCCCCGCTGAAAATTCTTCAATATCTAGTGACTGACATAACCAGTGGCTAGAAGTCAAGAAAATAAAAACTTCCTTAGGTGGCAGGCTTCAACCTAGTTATAACAAGCTGTAATGAAATAAAACAGTGAAATCTTTGCATTACATTGCAATTTCAATCAGATGTAACCTAATGAGTGAGATGAGTTCCTTGGCACCAGTGAGGATCAGCTGAGCTTCAATTAATGCACTGATTCAATTAAATAAAGCTTGAAACTCAGAACGTAATCCATGCTCAACCCTTGAGATTGAGTGGGAAGAAAACTAAATAAATAGTTTGTAGCTCTTGGAAAGAAAAGTAATTAATTGAATGTTAAAGGTGATTCCTTCCTACCTTGACATTCCACAACTTTAAAGTTACATTTAGTTGCATTTGAACTAAGTATAATTGTGTTTCAGATTACACAGAAAAGAAGAAGAAACAGCAAAGATTTATGCAAGATGAGCTGATTGGCCCAATTCACACCCATCAGTTCTACAAGGGAAAGTGAATTGCTGTTTCAATTACTATTGCCACTAGTTGAAGGAAGGAAAGCTGAGGCTTCACTTTTAAAATAAATATACTGATTTTGATGTTTTGAAGTAAAGCCTTTCCCTACAACTGCATTATTTTTTTATTATTTTTTTAGGAGCAATGCCCCAGAAAAAAAAAATGGAAAAGGCAACCCCCCCCCAAAATGAGGCGAGAAATACTAACAATTTTAAAGCTATTATTAAGAAGACACTTCAGCAGCTGATGGACTTTGTAAGTGGCTATTAACTTTTTGTCTCTGCTAAAAGGCTTTTTATAAAAAATGGAGGCAGAATAAAGCGAGAGAAGAGTGACGAAAGTAACATATTAGAAACTACCTAAGAAGCAATGACTAGCAATGAAGGATCATTTTGAAAAAAGCAAAGGTTAACAGACTCTCATCCTCAGGTCCTTGCTTTTAAAAATTTGAAAACATTTTAACACCGTAGCCCCTGCCCCCAACTCGCCTTGCATAGGTTTCACTTCACTCTACTATGGGTTTACCGTTAGTTCCTTGTGTAAAGGAGATTTTGGCAACTGAAGTCTGTAACAGTTGTTGATTTCAAAACACCTGGGAGCAAGGTGAGCTTACTGCAAGCCTGCATAGCTTAGAACCCAGTAACACTAGTAGCTGGTGGCACGTTATGGTGGAGATGCTAACTTTTCAGGAGGGTTGTGATGGTGCTCATTTGGGGAGGAGGAAGGCAACTGCAAGGTCAGCATGGTGCAAACACAGCATTGCAATCCATCCGGCATTCTTCCTAATGCTTTTCTAGATTATTATTTTCTTTTGCGGACAAACAGAGAGAGAACATTGTGAAACCAGTGGGCACCAGTGCAGATCCAAACCAGAACCTCACTTCTGCCTCTCCACATTCTTAATGAAGGCAGGGGCTGGAAACCATTTTTCCCAGCACAGGACAGGTTAAAAGAAAGTTACCAGATATTTTTCAAAGAATCCGGGGACACCTTTAAAAATAAAAATGAAAAAAGTTATTAAGAAAAGTTATTTTTTTAAAAAATTAATAAGTAATACCTTCTCTTCTGTGGTCTCATCTGTCGCGTGGCCTTCCTCTGGGCCCCGGCCTGCTCTCTTGGAGCACTAGCTGCCATGGAGTAGGTTCGGGTCGGGCCTGGGCTCAGCCACGTGTCCATGCCTTCCCAGTGCTCTCCTACCTCTCCTCCTCTGCGGCAGCGGTGGCAGTGGCATGGCAAGCTTGGGGCTCCCCTCTTTTTGCTCCTTCCTCTTTCTCTCTCTTCCATCTGCTCCTCCTCTCCAATGTCTCCCTGTGTCAGCTCTGGGGTTTTCCTGGCCCTGGAGCGCCACTGGGCAATCGGCCGGGCGCTCTCGCACCCGGCTCAATTTGGGTCAAGGGGGGGGGTGCCAGCAGTTCCCCCAGTTGACGTGCCAGGTGTCCCTGGTCCCCCCTCACAAGTGGTGGTGGCAGCAGCAGTCTCAGCAGCCCGGAGCCAGCCTGGTAGCGCAGTTGGCTCTGGCTGGCTTCAGGAGCTGCTCAATGCCATGGCACCCGCCATTTTGCTTCGCTGGAAGTCCCCATATGATGTGTCTTGTGCCGTTGAACCAATCACGCAACATTCATTCCCTACTAATAAATCTACAGCACTTAAAATATAAATCCGGGGACATTAAATGAAATCCGGGGACATTCCGGGGACAGATTTTTAAATCCAGGGACTGTCACCAAGAAATGGGAATGTCTGGTAAGCATATGTTAAAAGGCAATTGAAAGTGATATGTTTGAAAAATAAAATAGTATTTTCTGCTTTGAAAGCTATTACTCTGAAGCATATAATGGCAGACATGGTGATGAATATATAAAGACAGCCTGAGAAATGTGATATTTAACCCTCATTATATACCTGCATGAATGGTGTCACTACAGAATGCAATACTTTAGTGTTTATCAAATTGAAGTGTGGTGTATGCTCAAGGGCTGTTTTGTAAAACAAATCTTGTTATTGCTTTTCACTTAGCATCTGAATCATTGAGAAGGCTCTTTAGATCATCCTAAACATGGTATATTTCACAAACCATGAGCATCCTCCTCTATTATTTTAATTTGTATGTTGAATGCAAATCAAAGAAGTTCAATAAAAAATGAATAAAATATTACTCAAGAGGCTGGAATTTCAAATCAACACTTTAAAGCAGGGATGGTGAGCCTCCAGGCCTCCATGTGTTCTTGGACTTCAACTACCATGAGCCTTGACCAGTATGGCCAGTGATCAGGGATGCTGGGAGTTGCAATTCGGTAACATCTGGGAGGGTCACAGGTTTCCTATCCCTGCTTAAAAAGATGCACATTTTTCATAATAACAGGGTAAAATAAGACAGGGCAACAAACAATGAATTGGACAACTTCATAGTTTACTTCTCCCACCCATTAGTCGAGGGGCTGCAATTGAAAGAACTGAACAACAGGACACTGGGAGTGCTGGGAGTTTATGGAGCCCTCCCCAATTTGTGCCGGCAACCATGAGAGATAATTTAAGCAGGATTCAGGAGTATTATGCATGCTGGTGCTCTTGATATAGAACCATAGAGGGGAAGAACTGTGGAACTACAAAGAGATCCAGTGATAGAAGGTGGAGGTTTTCAGACTTTCAATGGTTTTGTGAGACCCCTCCACACAAAAAAACACCCACCCTTATACACATTTCTGTTTGGCCCTTATGCCCTTAAAGCACCTGGCAATCTTATCTTATCTGCATGGTGACAGGTAAAGGAGGGATTGTGAAAAGGACAACCATGTGTGAAAAGGGTGATAACCATAAAAGCTGAGGAGGCTAGGAAGAAACATACCATTTAGAGCTCATCCAGACTTAGGTCTCAGCTATACAGATGCAAATAAAACATTTAAAGTGTGTTGTAAAGTGCATTATACAAATGTGACACTAGATGGTGATGATGAGCTATGACAAATTCAATCTATTTTTCAAAACTTTTTTTTAAAAAGCATTTTCACCGTGTTTTTTATATGTGTCTAGATTCCACCTTACACATGTCCCACCCCTTTCCCTCTGGAAAAACCCAGTCTTCACCATTGAATCAGAGCAATTGTCAACTGGGTTTTCCATGGGTTGATGTTTGCTTTGATTCAGCGCTAAAGAACAGGTTTTCCCAGGCAAAGTGGAAGTGCAAACAGAAAACCACTCGAACCCATGCTTCCCAGGCATGGGACTAGTGGAAGTGAGGACAAGCATTAGTCACCCATTGTAAGTTTGGCAGGTTAAAGTGACGTGGTCGTTAAAAATAATCGCCCTTTTAAGTTTACTCATTCTTCCTGTCAACTCCTTGCAGTGCTCACAATCGTATTTTAAGAGTTTGGGATCCTTCCTTTAATCAGGTGATCCTAGGTGGGGCTCAGGGATGGAATATGGATTACTGGCACGGGGATGAGGCACAATATTGCACTGATAACTCTCTCTCTCTCTCTCTCTCTCTCTCTCTCTCTCTCTCTCTCTTATTCTAAGGCCCAATTCTCGAAATGGAAACCCTTGTTTTTGGAGCTACAATGTTTTGCAATTAAAAACATGCCTCCATTTTGTTAGTCTCTGTAATGCATATATACCCCCCGCCCCATTTTTACAGTGGGAAAAACCACTGTTCCAAGTGAGGTGAGGTGGTTACATCCACTTGTCCTTCCCCAATTACAGCCCTGCATCCTACACAGGATTCTATTAATTAAAAATTGAACCTCAGTTATCAGGCAATTATGTAAAATGCATTCATTGCCAAAGGCAATTGGGGGAGAAACGTAATTTGTGATAATGAGTCTTTCCACTTATCACCTATGATTAATAAACACAATAGAAATATCATAGGTCACTAAATAGCATCGGGGTATTTTAACAGTAGAATGACTAGCAATCTACAGGTGAGGGGGGAATGCTAAAAACTGAAACCTATTCAAGTGTCACTCCACCAGATGAATTACAGTAATCAGTGAATTTGAATTTGGTCTTTATGTATTTGCAAGGCCTTAAAGAGGAACATCTCCTTGCGGGAAGAAAAGATTTCACACAGAGAGCAAACTCTGAACGAGGAAGGCTTAGAAGTAATCTGCAGACTGCTGATCTTTAATTGCCACACAGCGACACACAAATGTTCATAGAAACTATAGATAATTTTGCAAATCTCTCTTTTTTCATTCTCTTCCATTGTACCATCCTTAGCAAACTACAGCTCCCATAGTTTTATGGGGGAAACCATGGCTATTTTAAAATGGTACCATAGTGCTTTAAATATATGATGTGGATGTGGACAGAATCTGTCCACCCTTTCTCCTTACTACCCCCTTTTGGGCCCTCCATATCACACATAGATGTATGCCGATGGCACCCATCTTATCCAAGTCCCCAGTATGCAAGCTATATATCTCTGTTTATATTTCTGTTCAGGCAAAGTGTGTGAGGCTAGCAGTGAAGAGAATAAGGGAATGAGCAGGGTTAGGGTATTTCCTCTTGCATGTACAAGTCTTGCTTCGGGATGCTTGAGGAATCTGCACAGCAAAAAGTCATTTTCAGATGTTATGAATTTACACTATATGCAATTATCCATGAATCAGACTGCCTATTCCCACAAGTCCATGTGCCATTTCAAATCCTAAAATGCAGTTTCAGATATCTGTGGTTAAACTATACCTATATAATATATATAACAACAAATCGTAGAATTGTAGGCCCATAAGGGTCATCCAGTCCAACCTCCTGCAATGCAAGAATCTTATGCCCAACATGAGGTGTGCACCTATGACTCTGAGATTAAGAGTCTCTTGCTCTACCAGCTGAGGCTTGCCGATCAGAAGGTCGGCGGTTTGAATCCCCGTGATGGGGTGAGCTCCCATTGCTCGGTCCCTGCTCCTGCCAACCTAGCAGTTCGAAAGCACGTCAAAGTGCAAGTAGATAAATAGGTACCACTCCAGCGGGAAGGTAAACGGTGTATCCATGCACTGCTCTGGTTCGCCAGAAGTGGTTTAGTCATGCTGGCCGCATGACCCAGAAAAACTGTCTGCAGACAAATGTTGGCTCCCTTGGCCAATAAAGCGAGATGAGCGCCGCAACCCCAGAGTCATCCGCAACTGGACCTAATGGTCAGGGGTCCCTTTACCTTTACGGATCTTCAAAGACAGGCCTTTGGTTACACTAGAAATTATCAGGTTAAACCCATAGAGAAAGGAGGCACCCTAGCTGGTCAGGAGGAGAGGAAGAGAAAGTAGGAGATGCAGAATTTTATTCAAGGGCATTCAATTTTATTCCTAAAAAGGAGGGAACAGGAGAGAAAAAAGGAGGATGCTGGATTGAATCAAAGGAGAGATCAGGATTAAAAGATGGTGAAAATACGTGCCTATAAAAACGTGTTAATTATTGCACAAGGTTTGTGTAAATACCATGCATATTCAAATATAGTGGTATCTCCGGTTACAAACTTAATTCGTTCCGGAGGTCTGTTCTTAACCTGAAACCGTTCTTAACCTGAGGTACCACTTTAGCTAATGGGGCCTCCGCGCCGCCGGAGCACGACTTCCGCTCGCTTCCCGGGGCAAAGTTCGCTACCAGGAGCATCTACCTCCGGGTGAGTGGAGCTCGTTACCTGAAGCGTTCGTAAGGAGGATGGTACGTAGCACGAGGTTCCACTGTAGATGTAATGAAAAGGAAGAGATTGGTTGATCCGTACTCTGGCTGAAGGCAAGGAAGAAAGAGTGAGAAACGGCTTAATAGCATCTCAGTTGGGATCCCACCCCCCATGCACTGCTGGCCTGTGAGGAGATGCTTCACCAGCCACCTTTTGACTAATGGAGATTTCAACAGCAGCTCTTGTTCTTAAGCAGTGTAAAGTGGAGCTTTGTGAAGGACACTTT